CAGAGTCCCCGAATAGGAACGCCGGCTTGATGAACTTTGTGCGGTTCAGAGATTCAAATCTGGCATTTGTGACCAGAACACGGAGTGTTCTTGAGGATGCTTGGGTAACCACTTCAGCATGTTCTTTATTAGCACCACAGAAGATGGGAAGTTCTCGGTGTAGATTAAATATCATGTTCTGATCTACATCACCTTCATGTCCAAAATAGTAACGGAAATAAAGAGGCTCATCGGTATAGCGCACTACAAATAAAAAATAATTAATTAGCACAGAGCCAGAGTAAGTCTAAAAAGACTTAATTCAAAATGCAGAGGTCGAACCCTGCATTTCAAAAAATTAAACGCAGAGGTCGAACCCTACGTTTCAAAAAAATCAAACGCAGAGGTCAAATCCTGCATTTCAAAAAATCAAACGCAAAGGTTAAGCCCTGCGTTTTAAAAAATCAAATGCAGAGGTTGAACCCTGCATTTTAAAAAATCAAACACAGAGGTCGAACCCTACATTTTGAAAAATAGAATGAGTTTTGCTTGTTGTTCAGAGTTCAGAACTTGTCGAAACATGTTTTACAGTCCCAGAGTTCAACACTTACCGCTGACAAAGGGAATTTGTGCCGGTGGCGCATCCGCCTATGTCATGGGGCCACCAGTGGTTAAAGATGACGATGCACCCTAAGCTGTAGCAGTAGCTATCTTGGATTTCGAAACAATCCTCTTCCTTGGAGCCATTTCAATCTCGTTGGAGAAGATGAACAGGATTCCTGTTAGAAGGTCGCCGGAGAAGAATGAACGAAGATCTTCGTTAAGTTCGCTGGAGAAAAGTGATAAAAAGGTCGAATGACTTTTGATTTGATCTTTGGCGATCTATTTATAGATAGCTGGAGCTGTCAAATCGGGGCGGGATTTTAGGCAAAAATCCCGCCTAAATGCAATTTTCGCGTTCCTATTGAGTCGGTTGGACTCCTAAAATGCTAGTCTCACCTCTGTATTTTAGCTTTTAAACGCAGGTCTCACCTCTGCATTTCAGCTTTTAAACGTAGGCATCACCTCTGCATTTTAGTTTTTAAATAGAAGGTTTAATCCTGCGTTTCAACTTCTAAACGCAAAGGACCAATTCTACGTTTCAGCTTTTAGATGTCAGGTTATTCCGGCTAACCCTCTCATCGAGCTACCACTACTATTAGGGTTATTGTACATAGAAGCTAGCAACAGCCATCAAGGTGATGAAAGCTGAGAAGAAACTGGCTTATGACAAGAAGCTATGCAGCCTTTTGGATGAGTACAGACTGATTCTAATCGCTGTCGCTGATAACACTGAATTGGATCCCTCGCACAACTCTTTCTTTTAATGGCTTAACATTCCCACTAAGATTAACAAGGATATTGTCAAAATTACTACCCTTGATGAACTGATCCTCTGAAATTATTATTTTGGCCAAATTTGGGCTGCGTCTTGGGTGTTCATCAATACCTACAAGAATCATTTGAGCCAAATTTGGGTTACGTCATGGGTGTTCATTAATACCTACAAGGATCATTTGAGCCAAATTTAGGTTGCGTCTTTGTTGTTCATCAATACCTACAAGGATCATTTTAGCCAAATTTGGATTACGCCTTGGGTGTTCATTAATACCTACAATGATCATTCTGGTTAGATCTAAGCTGCGTCTCACATATTCATCGAAATCTACATATTACATATCGTAGCAGGGTTGTTATTAATAATACTAAAAATTCATGCCTCACACGCATGGGGGATTTTATCTCGTCCCTAATTAGAGATAAGCCGATGCCTAACACGTGTCGTCGGTTAGTCTTTTCCCTGTGAAAATGATAAAACCTATGTATTTAATATCATAGCACCAAGCCTAAAAGAGATTATTCTTTTAGCACGACGTTACATGTAGAACGAACTTAGACAATTCACATGCTAGCCTGATTTCAAATGGTAATCGGTAAAGACACATCAAATCCGTTGATGGCTAAGGATTTTGCGAAAAATCATATTACATTGAGGATTTCTACAATCAAGTCCATGATACCTTCAAAACAGATATAGTGAACCATCATTCAACAGATCTCTAACTAATTTGGGGATCCAAAGTATTCCAAAAATTCGTTCCAGTCAACCGCGAACTTTTAAAAACTTTTAAGGGGATTCTGTAGGCTGCCTAAAAAAATACAATAGATAGCTTATCCCTATCAAACACCGACAATGGAAGTTACCATCTGACGACTTTCACATGAATAATTCAATAATAAAAGTTACAATCAAATGACTTTCACATCAGCAAATGAAGGCTATAATTGGAAGATTTTTACGTAGATCGAGAAAGGTTATAATCTGATAACCTTTACAACAACCGATAAAATCCCTAATTCAACAACCTTCATAATCAACATCGAGAGTTACAATCTGATGACTCTCATATTTTCAAGGCACCAAGACGAATATTACAAGATGACGATCTTTGCAACGCTCTAGCAAAAGAGACTACAAATTGACGGTCTCTTCAAATCAAGACGCAGAGTTTACCTCCGCGTCCCAGATCCAAAATGCAGAGCTCGTGGCCGTGTTCCAACTCAAAACACAGAGCTCATTGCTGCATTTTCAGACTCAAATGCAGAATCCAATTCTGTGTCTCAGATCCATAACACAGAATTCATGCCAAGAACGTAATTCTTGCGTTTGACTCGTTCAAACACGAGCTGAACGGTTTCAAAACCATTTTTCCATAATTTGAGGGGATTACTCCCCCACTTAGGAGCGAATTAATAGGGCGGTTACACCCCTTAATCCCTTATAAATGGTTGAAAACTTAATTGAGTTCAAGAGATCTAATTGATCTAAAAATTGATCGGCTTTTCTAGATCGAAATTCTTGGAGATCTTCAAATTTGGAGGCCCTTGGAGATCATCTTCATCAGCTGCAGAGATCCTTGGAGAAAGATCTTGGCTATAAACTGATTTTCGGTTAAATCAATTCAACTCTTTTACAGAGTTTAAACTCACACTGCGTTCCTAAACTCGTTAAGAGTTATAAACCGATTTTCAGTTCAAATCAACTCTTCTATAGAGTTTAAAACTCGCACTAAGTTTCTAAACTCATCAAGAGTTCTGTTCAAACTTACCATGCAAGTCCTCCTCAACATCAATCAAGAAGAAGAAACCATGTTCCAGAGAAGTGAAATGTTCAGATCGTCAACGGGATACTATCGAAAGCCAATCGACACCAAAAAGAACTCATGTTAAACAAAGAGAAATGTCTCCATCGATCTTTCTCTCTTTTGTAAATCAGGAATCCGATATAAAAATATTTTAATTTTTTTTAAGTCTGTTAGAGAGAAATTATATTAAGAGAATTATAATTAATTCTTTTTCTAAGTCTGTTAGAGAGAATACTATAAATTCATTTTCTCAATTTCTTCTTTTAATTTTCCCAACAAACAGCAAGTTGACCAAATTTTATGGGTATATTCACTGTAAACCCTCACGATACTACAACTCATCCTCTAGGGCAACCTAGAGGTTTAGAGACTTGTTATATGCGCTAAATACAACCGTGATTCCTGCGAAAGTGAGTTAGGATTTTTTTTTCCTTTTTCATTCTTTTAATTTCTCTTTTTGCTAGAGGACTAGCAAAAGTTTAGGCATGGGAGTATTTGATAATCATGTTTTATTACATTTTTATCCCCTCATTATCTATCTTATTTAAATAAATATATCACTAATAACTTATTTTTATCTTAATTTGTAGGTTAATTAAGATTAATGAATAAAAGCCCAAAAGATTCAAATTTCTTGATTTTCTACCATTTATTGAAGCCCAAATATGAAGAAAAAAGAAGACTCAAGAAAGCTCAAAAATCCATGAAGAAATCTGGTCAATAAATCAATAAAAAATCTGATTTGCGCAAACCAAACGATTGACCAACTGATTGGCCAACCGATTGACCAACCAATTGGTCAACTGATTGGTTCGCAACAAAAATTATTTTATGACTACAATTTAATCCTTGATCTCTAAGCAAAATCCAAAGGTTTTCATTCATTGCATTAGGCTTTAAATAGGGATAGAATGTGAGGGGTTTGAGTATGAAATTTTTTGTGAAAACTCTATTTAAAATGGAGGGTTACTCTTAATTGAGAAGACCTTTCAAAATTATTACTTTTTACTGTAATTAATAAAATAATTTTTTCACCTCTTCATATTTTTCTTTTCTTCTTTTTGTTTATCATGAAGATGAAGATGAGATGAAGATGGAGTGCAAGACGAATATTTGCCTTCATCAAGAGGCAAGAACCCTCTTGGAATGTGAATTTTATCTTTTATCTTTTTTATTTTCTTGTAATATATTTTTTCTTGTTTTAGATATTCAAGGGGATAGAACCCTCTTGAATTAGATTTATTTTGATGTATGATAGAGTAGATTTTCTTTCAATGTCTTTATTTTCTTGTATTTATTTTGTAGTATAGATTTATATTTTTGTATAGTTTAGATTTTCTTTATTGTTCTTTTCTTTTTGCTCATAGTTTAGATCTTCACTTATTTATTCTTTTTTTTGTAACTAGTTTTTTCTTTTCTTCATACTCTTTAATTTTTATTTTGCTTTTATTTTCTAAGATGTGGAACTAAATCCTTGTAGGAATTCTAGAATTGTATGAAACTAGTTAATTTCTTTTATGAATTATGGATTACTCTCTTGTGCTTAAATGATCATGTTTAGGATAATTAACTAGAGAACTAATTGGTAGAAGAAGAATTGGATAATCTATGCCTGCCTTGAGTGGTAGGATATGTTATGCTAATGAATTCTAGAATTACTATCTAGTTGATGTTCTTTTTATGAGTATTAATTTTACTTGGATGATAATAGGATAGGTTATGCTTGCCTTAAGTGGTAGGATTGTCTATACTTAATAAATCTAAAGTAAAATCTATCTATCTACCCTTTAAAAGAGGGAGTTCATGAAAAACTTTTCCCTTCCCAAACTAACCTTCAACTAATTTAAATATTCCAAACTTATCCTTATAATCATTAAACAGATTTCATCTTTATCATCGTAAATCCAAAGACCTAAGATTTCCGTCGGTTACGCCTTCCTCTCCGCCCACCGGTTCATACACGATCTTAACCCTTCAATTTCCAAAGATGATTATTATTGCCCTAATCTCCGACCTCCTCCGCCATGTCCCTCATCATCGTCCCCAGATCCGACGCCCAGCTCCTCCCCTCGTCATCGTCGTCGCCACATCGACGCCCAGCTACTAGGCAGCGGAATTAGGAAAAAATGAATGGATCTTGTGAGGGTCGGCAGCGAAAATCGGTGAGCGAATTAGGAAACCTCTCACGGAAAATCTTTCTTATTTTATTAGGGTTTTATAAAGTTGTTTTGAGTTTCCTAACTTGTTAAATAAATAAAAAAACCTAAAAGTCAAAAACAAAAATTCCCCTTTCGCTTATTGGAGCTGCTTGATTTCTTGAAAGCCAGTTTGCCCCAAAAATACGAACATTTAAAGCATATCTTGTTACAGTTCGATAATGAGGAGGCACAGTCCGGCGTATTATAGCCCCCCGCGAAGAGGTTATGGTGGTGGAGGAAGAAGTCCACCAAGGAGGAATTACGGCGGCGGCGGCGGGCGCAGGGAATCTGGTCAGAGTCTTTTGGTTAGAAACATTCCCCTGAATTGCAGGTAAAGATTCTTCCTTTGATGTTTGTAGTTGGTTTTGCTTTGTTATATGAAGGGTTGATAGTGGTTGTATATTTGTCCTTGCATATTTAGACAATTTTGTTTTCTTGTCTACAGAGCGGAGGACCTCCGCGCCCCATTTGAAAGGTTTGGGCGAGTAAGGGATGTTTATTTACCGAAGGATTATTATTCTGGGTGAGTTCTTAGTGGTTGATGTTTAGGCCTTGATGATTAAGGATGTGAATGTTCCTTTTTAATGTATAGTTCATCTCTCTTATGATTTCTGATTCGACGTAGTTCAGTTGAATTCTTGAGATTATGATTAAGAAAACCCTTGTCATGGTTAGCGTTTACCTAAGTCCTGAAGAAGGCTGGAGGTGGTCTTAACCTACTGCTACACCTGAATGGTTTTATGTTTTATCTGAGAATGCTTTCTTTGAGATATAGGAAAAAGGTTTATATTACACCATTAAAGTAGGATTTGCAAGAGGCGTAGGCATAAGGTACGCGTGTCATATGATAATTTTTGTGAAGAGCAAGCTATCAGTATTTGGTTATTTTCCTCTATTAGTGGATGGAAAAGGAGCGATCAGTTCATCTGGAATGTTCCCCATTGTGTGGTATAATTATAAACACAACTGCAAAAGTGATGGTGTTTTCTTTGTGAATTATTTTCAGTACTGCAATCAACGAAGGGCAAGTTCTGAGGGATGCATGGTAGTGTAATATGTAAGAGATTCATTTGTAGATATAAGTTTATGTGAACGTTGGCTTCCAAATACATGGAATTCTGATCAACAGTCTCAAAGTTTAGAGTATCTTGCAGAGTGCAAGAGAAGCTGGTGCACAGCATTATGACAAAAAAAAAAGAACCAAATTAGTAAATTATGCTCATGTAGAGATTTTAATGTTATTTTGGTGATTTCAAGAATTTTGACTAAGGTTTTGCACTTGCTCCGCTAGCATATTGTAGTCTTGCCTTTGCTTCACTATCATCTTCTCATGGTTGGCTTTAGGATGTAAGAAAAATTTGGAGAAACTGCTGCAAATGAAATTTCCAAGCTTCTTGTGCCTTTATTTCAACTTGATACCTATCTGGTTTGCTTATTAATTCATGTCATATATCTGCCAATGAAACTATGAGCTACAGTGGGGTCTCATAAAATCTGATGCCAGTGTAGTTGTGAGGTGGATGCCTCAAACCATAATTTCTCTTCAAATTCCCCAGGACCAGGAGGGGTACAAAGAAGATGCAATTATGGTATCTACTGAGGAACCATCCTGTTGTTCACATTTATAAATGGATGCCTTCTTATTTAAGAGTTGGAGCCTTATGAAATATAATCAACCTGGTGATTTTTATTCTGCATTTTCTTCTTTCTTGGAATTTTATATCAATATCACCAAGGTAGAAAAAATGCTTTGAAACATACTTTTTATGGTTATTATATTCTTCTTTTGTGCTTCTGCAGTAAGTTGCGATTTGGTTTGCTTCTCAAGGGTGCACTGCATTGAAGTAATTAGAAGCTTTGCACTTTATGATGCTCACTCTTTACAATTGCCTAACTTATTCCTTCGGTTGAGGGTCTAGAGTCATATTCAAATGAAGCATTCCCTATCAAGAAGCATTTGGAATCCACATCAACATGAGGTTGTTGAAGATCAAGTTAGAATGAAGACCAATTAAATTTGCATGAGAAGTGGAAGCATAGTTAATATCAAGTGATACAAGTAGTTACTTCATTTGAAGAATTTGAAGATATGTGACTTTACGAAGTTTCCGTACATATTGTGTAGAAGAGAGGTCAAGGCATTAGAGTGTGGACTGCTAGATGCCTTATGCGGTAGTTGATTGTCTTTTTTGATGGAAACGATAGTAAGTAAATGCCTATCCATCATGAAGATTTTTAGGAAGTCATTAAATGATGACACTGTTGATGGTAAACTTAGCAAGTAGCTGTGTTGTTTTTACCTTTCCCATGTTTGGTTTTGCACTGGCTTTGACCATCATCACTAATTATGCTTCAAACTTATATTGCAGTGAGCCCAGGGGATTTGCATTTGTGGAGTTCATTGACCCTTATGATGCTGCGGAAGCTCAGTATCAGATGAATCGGTGGCGATTTGGTGGAAGAGAGATAACTGTGGTGGTTGCATCTGAAACAAGGAAAAGGCCTGAGGACATGCGTCACAGATCAATACATAAGTACTAACATATATTCCCTTTTGTTTACTGCTGTTACTGTATTTATTACTAATAGGTGTGATGTTTAATATTGTATATACTTTATTGTTATTATTTGTTTCACAGTGGGCCTTCTCGTTATGATGATCGACGATCTTCTGGACATGGTACTTGCTTGATTTCTTGATATTATTTTTGATTGTTGACATTTGGCATCAACTGTCATCTAACTTTTGTCATGGGTGAAATATTCTTTTTGTTACTCTCAAAACTGTAATTGCTTTATGATTATATTTATGTTTAAGTAGTACTCTAATACTGATTATCTGACTTACTGAGCATTGATTCTTAAATATGAGAATACGCAAGTGTTGGCAACATCTTTTTTTGTCCCTCAAGCATCCAGTAGTGAAAACTAAAATCTTGATTTTGTTTTTTCTTTCTCCTGTTTTTAATAGAATTAAAAATTGATTTAAATGAATTGTTTATGTTGCCTGTGTTTGTTGTACTTTCTCAGTTACCCTTGCATCCCTGAGTTCAGGGATCTTGTTCAAACAGTTGCAAGTTAATGTTTTCTCTCATGCTGAATTATATACACCTCCATGGGTAAAAAATTTCCAGTTCAATATATCTGTTGGGTTGTTGACATCAAGACCATCTAACCTTGATGAGCATGTTTTAGTCTTTTCTTAGATCCAGACTAGCGTTTTCTCCAAGTTAAGAGTGTGGTATATAAGGATCATGTATTTACCTGTCAGTTGCTATGAAGTTTTGTCTTAATGCAAATTTGAGCTGCTTCTATAGACCAATCTATATATTGGATTGCCTGTGTGTTAAATATTTTCTATAAAGCTTCATTTAATTTTATAGGCCGCTCACGTTCTCGTTCGAGGTCACGTTCACGTTCTCCTTACCGCCAACCTACTTCTGGAGCCCGGCATACATCTAGGTTTGTTGAAAAGGCTTTCAAAGTTATTACTTCATAGAAATGATGCATAACTAATTTGATAATTGATGTCTCTTCAGGTCATACTCTCCTGCACCAAGACGAGAAGGTGGTTACTCCCCAAGAAGGCAAGATGATTATTCAAATATGAGAATACGCAAGTGTTGGCAACATCTTTTTTTGTCCCTCAAGCATCCAGTAGTGAAAACTAAAATCTTGATTTTGTTTTTTCTTTCTCCTGTTTTTAATAGAATTAAAAATCGATTTAAATGAATTGTTTATGTTGCCTGTGTTTGTTGTACTTTCTCAGTTACCCTTGCATCCCTGAGTTCAGGGATCTTGTTCAAACAGTTGCAAGTTAATGTTTTCTCTCATGCTGAATTATATACACCTCCATGGGTAAAAAATTTCCAGTTCAATATATCTGTTGGGTTGTTGACATCAAGACCATCTAACCTTGATGAGCATGTTTTAGTCTTTTCTTAGATCCAGACTAGCGTTTTCTCCAAGTTAAGAGTGTGGTATATAAGGATCATGTATTTACCTGTCAGTTGCTATGAAGTTTTGTCTTAATGCAAATTTGAGCTGCTTCTATAGACCAATCTATATATTGGATTGCCTGTGTGTTAAATATTTTCTATAAAGCTTCATTTAATTTTATAGGCCGCTCACGTTCTCGTTCGAGGTCACGTTCACGTTCTCCTTACCGCCAACCTACTTCTGGAGCCCGGCATACATCTAGGTTTGTTGAAAAGGCTTTCAAAGTTATTACTTCATAGAAATGATGCATAACTAATTTGATAATTGATGTCTCTTCAGGTCATACTCTCCTGCACCAAGACGAGAAGGTGGTTACTCCCCAAGAAGGCAAGATGATTATTCTCCAAGAAGAGAAGATGATTATTCACCAAGAAGGCATTCAGACCATGCAAGGTCCCCAAGGGATTAGCCAGAAGGACGTGATGAGGACTATAATCGCAGATCACGGTCTCCAGGGTATATCAATGCTAACCAAAATCAACCTGACAATGGTCATGCAGAGTAAGTTTTTGTGAACTCCCTTACATCTCCCTTACATTTTCACCTGCTCTCTCTTTTTCCCCCCTTGAGAGATATATAGAAGAATCAATTATCGACCAGTTATAGACCAACTTCTATTAGCTCAGCATGAATTTCAATCCTTCCGACTTTATTTCTGTATGAAATTTCCATGTCATGAATTTGGTTCCAAATAAACATAAAAAATATATATATATATATATATATATATATATATAGAGAGAGAGAGAGAGAGAGAGTATACATTCATAAATTTATTATTTGTATTAATATAGTTGCGGATATAGAATGTTTTCACAGTGTTTTGGTTGCTAAGGGGGGAGCATTCCCTATTTCAAGTCTAGATTTAGAATTTATTAAAAAACATATGCAGGGGCAAAATCAAAGGAAGGAAAGAAAAAAGGAAACAACATTAGTATGTCAGCAAAATCGTCACACACGCGTACATACTTATTGACACAAGGTCGGGTAATTGGCTGATAGCTATTTAATATGGGGGTAAAAGGGACAAGTTACCTTAACTTTAACAAAAACTCTTTCGATTCCTTCTGATTGATGTTTTCGCTTTTAGATAGACATAACTAATTTTCCCATCTTATGATGTGTTCTTTTTTTATGATTAGGGTTGTTCCTATATCTTTTTGAGACATTAGTAAGAATGTTTTGGGTTTAATAAAATTGGAACCTTTGATAATGTTATGGCTAATTTCATGAAAGAGTGACATTTATTTTGAGTTTTATCCTAAATATTTTTTTCCTCTTGTGAAATAGATTGCATGGAGCTTAGCGATCGCACATGGTAACTACATCTCTTATATAGCTACTCATCATGATTTTTTCTGAAATTAATGGGATTGGTAAACTTGCTAAGAAGTTAGTGGAGGAAGGATACTTTATATACTTAGGCATACGCTTTGCCTAAGTTAACACTAATCTTGCCTGTAGTAACAAGTGTTGAAAGAGCATTTTCGGTAATGAAAAATATTAAGAATGATCTTTGAAACCTAATAAATATTTGTTGTCTTGCATTGGAAAGGATATATTGAAATCTAATGAATATTTGGTGTCTTATATTGGAAAATATATATTTTGTAAGATATGCAAGGAAGATGTCAAGAAAAGGTTTGAAAAGCAAGAAGAATGCTACTGTAAACACTATGTTCTAATTGGAAATAGACTTAATTGCATGAATCCCCTATAGTTTCAACTACGTTGCACTTATATACCCTCACTTGTTCTATCCAGCACCTATATACGCTAAAATGTTTAAAACTTTCAATTATGTACCCTCAATTGCTTATGGAAGCACTTGCATGTTTAAAGTTTTTAAAACTTGCACTTAAATATCGTAAGGTTTTTAAAATTTGCACTTAAATATCCTGAAGTTTTTAAAACTGGCACTTAAAAACTTTCAAATGTTTAATTATATGAAATGTTTAATATTGTGTAGATTTCTTTTTGGATTGCATACATAATACTCAAGCCAATCATCACTTTCATATTGAATATCTTCATACTTTGTGTTGTATTTCATATTGTCATTATAAGTTCAAGCCCTTCATCGCTTTCATACATTTGCAGAAAAGATTTCTATGATGACGATGGGAGGAGACGCTCTATCTCAAGGTCTCCAAGACGTGCTTCACGTTCGCCTTATGGTTCACGATCCAGGTCTGCAGACTTGTCCCCAGGACGCAGCAGATAAAAGGATGATGCGGGTTTTGTCTACTTTGTTTCTGCGATGTATTCTGCTATGTCTTCTGGAATCCAATGTTCGGACCCGTAGATTTTATAAGTCTGGACCTACCTGTATTTTCAGGTCTTGCAGAACTTTTTTAGTTTCATATCTGACTCTAGGGTGCCTTTTCTGTCTCTGCAGACTTTTTGAACAATTTTATGCTTAAACTTAATTACAACTTATGTAGTCGTTGTTGGCGGTGATGGTGTGGAGAGGGTGATAGCTCTAGCACCAATGTGGAATCTTATTGTTGCTATGAAATGTGAACTTTTGAGGTTAAGATTTGACCAAGATATCTCATGCATCATCTGTTGAGCCGACGCTCAGGCTATTTCTTTGGGAGAGAATATTTTGATATAAGCTGCTGCTTCTTTTCCTTTTTGTTTTTTTTAATTTATGATGATATAATTGATGTAAGCAAAATCTGAGCTCTGTCGGTTAGTCTGCAGCTCTCATGTAACTGCAATAGTTATTCCGGAGTGATGTGTTTATCTAGCATAACTGAGCTGAACTTAAATAAAAAAACTACAGTTTGTATCGCTAAACTCATATTATCTACCTTATTACTTTTATGGTATGAGCCTTAAAAATAAGTTTCAGTTTGTATCGCTAAACTCATATTATCTACCTTATTACTTTTATGGTATGAGCCTTAAAAATAAGTTTGATTGTGCTTGGATACAAATATTTCTTCAAGCATCCAAATTCAGAGGGTGTTTGGTGAGGTTTATTTTTTGTTCAAACTAGCTTTTAAGCTAGCTTTTTCATATCTATCTGTTTGGTATGATACTAAATAAGTTGCTTATAAGACTTATTCTTAAAAGCTCTTATTTTTAAAAGTTGGTACACTCTAGCTATTGAAAAACGAGCTAATAAGGTTGCACAAACACGCTAAGTTTGATCAAACAAATTACTATTTTACCCAAACAATATTTAAGTAGATTTTATTATAAAAGACAAAAGCCATCAAAAGCTAACATAGCTTAAAACCTCGAAAGAACAGCCCCCCCCCAACCCAAACACCCTCTCAGTAAGCAATAGAGATCAAATACTATTATTTATCAGTTTGATGTTAATAATTATTTATAAATTTTTATTAAGGGCGAAAGTGGTATTTTTTAAAAAAATAATGAGATTATATGACAATCTCACGCTTGAACACCATCAGTTTTTTTATGTACCAGCTTCTGCGAGCTATGAAGTATATCCATAGCTATGAAGTACATCCACATTGGTGAATGCCTTTTTTTTTGCTGGCTTGATTGGGCGATGACAACTATTTTTCTCTAACAATATCAATGGTTGTTTTTTGTGTGTTATTGGTTATCAGCCAATGTTTTTCATCGGGACTCGAAGCTAAGATCAACAAACTTTTTCTTGATTGTGAGGTGACTTTTATCACGTGCATCATATATATGGTTGATTAGGTTCCTTCTCTATGGGCAATATTCTAATTAGTCCTGTGAGATAATGTTTAATTGGCATTCATCTTGTGTATTGTGTATAAGTTCAATGCATAATTATGAAAACATTATTAATTTTGACTCTTGTAGTTTCTTAATATGTATCACATGCAATGTATGTATCCATATGTTTGATACATGGTTTAAATTAAATAAATCTTAATGAAATGAATAAATAACAAAAGAATAAATTAAAAATTTTACCACGTGTATTGCACGTGCAATCCAACTAGTATGATAAAAAGAGAATAGTTCATGAATTTATAAGTGAAATTAGCTAGTGGATTCAATTCTAGATTCCTCATATCTCTAGTTGAATCTTTCATCTTTACTTTCTTGAATTTCCTCTTTGCTCTTGATTTTTCTTTATTTGCTTATTGTTTTATTCCCTTTTCTTCATCTTTCTTTCTCCCCTCTCAATCTCGTTTTGTTTTTATTTGCATATAATCATAACCACTTTCCTTATATCTCTCCACAAATCACATGTTTCACCCTAATTGTCACACACACATTTTAAGAGTCACTTTTGATTAATTCCTACAACACTCTCCTCGTGGGATTTAATATTTTTCTATACTATACCTTGATAGTTGTGCGCTTGCAACTTTTGGTTATTATTTTTACCACATCATAAAGTTTGGTCTGTGCATACCCATAACAGAGTTTTTCCAAATAAAAATAAGTAGGATTAAATAAATAAAATGAAGTTAGAGCTTTTACATGCATACCCCTCAAACCTATAATATTTGCGAACTTTTTGTCTCTTTACTAATTATTATAGACAATAGAATTTAATGATAAAAATAATTCCTAATTATCAAATCCTTGTATTTTATCATGATGATGTAATTTAAAAATATTAGGATAAAATAATAATTTTACATGTCTTTACTAATTATGATAGAAAATTAAATCTAAAGATAAAAACTACTTTTTTATCATTTTCATATTTCCTAATTTAAAGATATTAGGATTAGATAGCAACTATTTATCTCTTTACTAATTAACTAAAATAATTAAATATAAAGATAAAAACCAACACTTATCAATTCTATATCTTTTATCTAAAATAACTATATACTTAAATATCTTAACTACAATCTCTCATTATTGTTATTCATATTAATTAGGATAGGATAACAATGTAATATATAAAAGGATCAATCTTATTTTTTTCATGGGAAGTTTTTCCCAAACTTATACTTTTATAAGGGGTATGATATAATATGATATGATATGATTCTACTTTCATTTCTATGGATGCTTATCTTAGTCATAACATGGTCTTTAAATGGTTTTTGACATATTCTAATGGTGGACAACTTAGGCTATTCATGTGTTATTTTTTACAATTTAAGATACCTAGTGTAAAGATGATGAAATAATAGAGTATTAAGTGCAGCTTAGCCAACTTTTATTTATAGTCAAGTTGCACCAATATCAATTGCAAGTTTCAAATCCATTCTTTTATGCAAAAATATTTCGCCTCCTTTAATTACCAGGGTGTAGGTGGAAAACTTTGCAATGATGCTAAGGATTGTTTTCCTAATATGGCTGCCAAATCCTTCCATGAAAAGTAATTTAAAATAAATAGAGTGGTGAAGTTGCAATGCGGTACCGGAGTTCTTGACGGGGGCGCAACTATGTTGTGGCTTAGGGTGCAGTTGCACTGCTTAAATTTTTAATTACATTTTAAACTCTTCTCAAATTTCATTCTGGTCCTCATACTTTTTAAAAATTTGCATCTCAAATGGCCAATACTTTCTTATATAACCAATAATTAGCACTCCTTTTGAGCCCATTTCCAGGCAATAGCTCATTCCATTTGAGTTTAGCTTATTATCATTACTTGCATATATTCACCCGTCATTCTAAAAAAATGTTTCTGGATCCGTGACTGCTCCAGATTTAGCTTTGATTCGAACATCAAACTAATAATATTTAGGGTCTGAACGCAAAAGTTCTTGGTTGGATCTCATTGCAGTTTAATCGGTCCGTAACGCTCGACCTAATGGCCCTCAATCCAAGAATTGTAAAAATACACGTAGCAGGCCTCAGATTGTGCTTTAACAGGTGAATTCATAGTCCTCTTTCTGGGGGGGGGGGGGGGGGATAAATTACACTAAACCCCTAAGAACTTTAATTGTTCTGCAGTAAATCCCCAATAACTTCTAAAGTCACACTAAACTTCCGGTAGCTATTGGAATTGCAGAAAACCCATGATAAGTTTTTGGATTTTATAGATAACCCCCATGGCGACTTCAGTCCATATTTTGTATTAGCGACACATTTAGATCCTAAATGTAGATTGACGCCATCATGAGGATTATTTGCAAAATATGGAAATTTATTGGGCTGTCTAAAATTCCAATAGTTATCGGCTGTTTAGTGCGATTATAGAAGTCATTGGGGTTTTATTGCAAAATACTAAAAGTTATTGGGGGTTTAATGTAAATTACCCTAAAATTATGTAACACATTACCAATTATTTTATGCTGAAACAAAAGCTTATGTTGAGTGTGTATTTGAGCCTTCCCTCTTCTTCTTTTTTTGGGGAAATTTAATTAGGTTTTTTCTTTGACATTGAAATTTCCGTGAAAAAAAATTATCGTACTAAAGCATCCTGAAACTATTCTTTGCATATAATTAAATTTGTTATTTCGTGTGCTTTGTTTGTCTAATTATATCAGCACACTTACAAGAGTAAGGAAATAAAATCAATAACCCTCAACAAATATATAAAACTTAGATTACATGTAGAAGTCCCCCCGAAAAAAATTCTTTATTCAATTAACGAAATGATTGTTTTGACCAGAATTAAGGCAGTGCCAACTCTATTGGCAAATCTATCAACTGCCTCAGGATCTCAAGTTTCATTAATCTTTTCTAGATTTTAGATTTGTACCTGATGATTGTATCTTGATATCGACGAGAAAGAAATCAAGCGTATGGGTTATCAGATGTCAACATATTTGATATTAAATAAAGGGAAAAACTACTGTTATTATTCCTGTTCACATTCCAAAAATTCTCTTGATCAACCGCACAGCACATATACGTAAAGAAGGGTACAATATCAGATTACTCTAGGGCTGTCCAAAAAGCCCGCGGCCCGGTGTCCGGCCCGGGTTTTTCCCTGACACCCGGGCCAGACCCGTGCCCGGCCTGGAACAGCACCGGCCGGGGCACCAAAACCGGGTCGGGCGGCTCGGGCGCGGACCTTACCCGGCCGCAACGGTCACCAGATGTGACTGTGCCTGAAAATGCCGGGCCAGGCACCAACGCAGCTCTGTGACGGTTGGGCAGAATTGACCAGGCCGGGCTAGGCCGGCCTGACCCGACCAAAACGGTAAAAAAACTGACCGTGTTGGGCCGGGTCGGTCCGGCTCGACCATAACGGTCAAAACGTGTGTTTTGACCGTTTTGCCCCTAAAATGGTCAAAAACGGCTAGAATATGATGGTTTTTTGGTAATTTGCCTAGGAGGTTGCCTCTATAAATAGAGGGGAGTTTTCACTTCTTCTCCTCACATCAAAACTCATCTACTTCTCTCTAATACTCTCTTATACAATCTTATACTCTCTTATAATCTATTATATTTTCTAATACTTCCATCAAATGGCTTCTGGATCTGATTATGAAGCGCAAAACCTATCTCCTACCGATCCAGAAATGAGTCCTCCTACAACTACTACTCCTCCTACCGGTGTTAATATTAAATCTGGTGGCGACAAATCTGCACCAAGAGCTCCTAAAAGGTCGAGATCCGATGTGTGGAATTTTTTTGAGAAGATAGACGTCACCAAGGATGAACACGGTAGGATCATCACCCA